TGGTCGTAGGTAGTGTCCTCTTTTAGTATTTTAGGTGTAATAGTACAGAATAGCGATTGCATTTGAGGATCTTTGTGGGGACACCTGCAATACCTCTCCTCTGTTTGGGTTTGAATCTGTTCTCTTTTGTGCAATCAAAAGAAAGAAGCGTGTTAAGTACCTTGGTACCATTATAAAAGACTTATTTTAACACAGAGCTATGCAAACTGTGTCTGTCTAAACACTGCCAGGGATGATTTTCCCATTGAGATTTTTTTTAATCTCACCTTTAGTGATAGGTAAGTGAAAGTGTTAGTATTTGAATCCTGTGACTGAGACAGATGAGGTTGTTAAAGTTCAGCTAGTGTTGTTGCTTCTGGAAGTAGGCTTAGTGGTTAAACTGAGAATACTGTTTTTGTTCGCTACACCTCAATCTTTTACCCAAAAGAAGACTTAAAACTCTGGCTACATTTGATAGGTCTTCCTGTGGCATGTACAGTATCTGTAAAGCAGAACATGAATGTGTGTTTTCTGAATATTTTGGATCCTCATTCAGAAAGTAAATAAAATATGTTGGTGTGTACCTTTTGGTATCTGCAACTCTTGAGACATTTTGAGAGTCCCTTAATGCCATAATCTGGAAGGATATAGCAAGCTTAAATCTTTTGTTGGTAAGATTCTTAGTTTTTATTAAGACAAATGTTTTGTGGAAACTTTTTTTTTTATTAAGTTGTTCACTAGGTTTTCAGCTGAGATGCAGCTGTAACAATGTCATGATACTCTCTGACTCCTATTGAATACAGTCATTAGTTCTCAAAATACCTTTTCACAAAGAAAACAAATAAGATGATAATACTGTACAAATGGAAACTCTTAGGACCATAAAGTGACTTGTGCAATGCTATTCAGTCCCATAGCAATAGAACTCATGGCTTTTAAGCCCCAGTCTCATGTTTTCAACAGCAGACCACAGGATTGTTGTGCATTCTCAAAGCGTGTCTCTTGACGCTTTCATTAGGGGTTGTAGGACTAATGATCAATCTTGGGAATGTTTAAGCTGTAATTGCTGACTGGGCATGGAACAGATATTGCAGATACGGTCTGCATCCCAAATCTTAAGTATTTGATGATGTTCTGGTTACAGTAACTTGAAGCGTGGCATTTAAAATGTTTTCCTCTCTCTTTTTTTCTCCTAATCTGCCATGGTCCCAAAATGTGCACCTCTTCTGTTCTTCATTCTGTTCTTCCTATTGTATCTTAAGTTGAACCAACTTACATTCTCATAGTTGAACCTACTGTCGTGAGTAATTCAACTGGTCCGCTTACTAACTGTACAGATTGTCTGCTAACCTGTATGCACATTAGTACTTGGGCTGGCAACACTGAGGAGAACAGTATTTGACAGCTCTGTCTGGAAAAGTAAATGAGCAGGCGCAGTGACTAGGAGCTGTTGCTTTGCATTGAGCAAGTAGCTTCTGGTGCTGAGGCGTTTGGGTGGTGTAAAGATTGCAACAGAAGATGGGCATTTCTCACATAAGAAAGTATGTCTGCTTCCTTGGTAAGGCTTTGGCACTACAGGAGTTTCTTGTTGCTATCTCTGTTGTCTTGCTGTCTCATAAGTAATGTTTACTAGAAAGTTACATGCTTTCTGTGGGTTGTGGCCTAAGCTGTACAGTAATTGAAACTTCATCTGATTTGTATAGACTTCTCTATTTGTAATCTGACTTACCTAGTGCACTTGCTCCTTCAGTCTGGGATGCATCGTTATCTCCCTCCTGCACTTCCTCCAGAAATAGTTATTTTTATATTGCCAAGTTTTTATATTGACCATACTTAAAAGTATGTAAATCTTCAGGGAGTCCAGACTGAATGTTGATTTATGTGAGAGACTGTTGACGCCAGAATATATCTGAGGTTGAGCTATTTGGTCGGTTTTATCTGTTAGGCTCTCTAATTGTCAATGGTAATCCTGACGTCCCACAAACATTAATTCCTGGAAAGTGTAATGAGAAATCAGAACTAACTGGTCTAGACAAGTGCTGACTGTGACAGTAATTTCATTGATCAGAATCCATTAAACGATCTGGTATTCTTTTGCGGATGGTCCTGGGTGCTGGTGAGACTGAAATTTTGCCACTAAGTGTCAACGCAGTATCACTAGATTTATTGGGCTCGTATCCATTGTCTAGTACTTAGTGGCTAGAGCCGCTTGTTTTCATTACCAGCTGCAGTTCTATTTATATTATATTGCATGCCAGAAGTTACAACTCTTTGTTCATCATCAAGAGTGTATTTTGTCACTCTTAGATCTGGCAGGGCTAAGTGTTAAATCTAAGTGTTAAACCTTCAGTTTTTTACATGGAATTGTCAGGTGGTGTCATAGTTCCTCCCAGCTTTGTACAGAAGAAGTTGGAAGTGACATCTATACTCGTATGCAGCACTTCAGTCAGGGGGGGGGGGGGCAACTTCAGCAAAAATGTTCCTTGCAAAAGCTGTGATGAGATGTGCCAGTTTACACCTGTTAATTGTTTTGCTGTCCCCAGTAAGAACCTCCACTCATGCAACTATGAAACCAGTTCACTGTGAGCGTCTAATGCTGGGCTGGGGTGAATCTGCAGTTTGCACAAGAGCTTACTGCCATGTCAGTTAAGTACAGAAATTACTATGCTACATGCATTGCTAGCAGCATGCCAGCGGTATATACCTTGCTCTGAGGTATCCAAGTCCTCATTTCTTCAAAGAAGAAATAGAGTTGTCAGATTCTTTGGCCTTTGGGCTAAGTCTGTCTGATGTATAAACTTGGATAATGTATTCCGTGTATTTATGTTCTGCACACATTTAAATGAACCATACTAAAACAATTTTGTTTTAAAGAACATTTATGATTTAAGAGCATTCTCCCAGGTTTTCTACAGGTGGTTGTCAGATTAACTGCTTGCTTTTTAAAGTTTTTATTGTCTTGGATTTTGCCTTTGATTCAGTGAGGTGTATATTTTTTCCCAAAGGTATCCAAGAGTTATGGGTTCCTCTGGCTACCTTAGCTGTACTTTTGATTCCTTTGAAGTTTTAAAATTAATTCTCTAGTGTGCTACATGTGCGAAGGGAAGATTTTCTTTTTAACATTAAAAAGTTGTTTACCAGTGTATTCTTAAGCATTTACAAGATCAATGGGCTGTGTGTTTCAGGTTTTTTTCTGAAAGCTGATTATCATAGAAATATAACAGCATTTATGACAACTTCCATAGGGCTTAAATATCTGGCAAAGATTGGGTTTAAGAGGAAGAAAACAAAAATTCTGTGTTACATGATGTTTTGAAGCCAGGTCTGTTAGCAGGAATCTGAGACCATTTTTTGGCCATAAGCAAATATTCTTTAATTAAATGTCAAAAAAAGCAAAGGAATGTGGGTGAGGTGGAAGGAGGTGCCCTCAGGTAATATATTTGCCTGAATCTCTAGTAGGAGCTTCATAATCCGCAATGTTATTGTGAAACAGAACAAAAAGCAGTATGTAAAGTGGTCCCTGACCAATAGTCAGTTTTCAGTAATACTCTAAAAAAGATAAATTCATAATTTTGAAAATACACATTTCAGATAACTGAGCTATGTTTCTCAGGATTCATGGATTGATTTTTACTGTTCTTAACTAGTATTGTAAGAAAATTATTTTTGTTGTTGTGTTTGGAATTCTGTATTCCTTTAGAGGGTCAGTCTCTTCTCCCAAGTAACAAGCGATAGGACGAGAGGAAACAGCCTCAAGCTGCGCCAGGGGAGGTTTAGGTTAGACATTAGGAAAAACTTCACCGAAAGGGTAGTCAGGCATTGGAACAGGCTGCCCAGGGAAGGGGTTGAGTCTCCATCCCTGGAGGTATTTAAAAGACGTGTAGACATGTGCTCGAGGAGATGGTATAGTGGTGGACTTGGCAGTGATAGGTTAACGGTTGGACTCGATGATCTTAAGGGTCTTTTCCAACCTTAACGATCCTATGATTCTAGGGTATAATACTTTATTAAATCAATTGAACAAATTAGAAAGAAATTAGAACAGTTGAAAATTACTAAAAAATACGGATAAAAAATTCTCAAGAGATCTCCCTCTGGAAAAGAGAGCATGAGTACATGTGATAAATACGCAAGTATATTACAAGACAAGTTAGAAGAGGATATGGATCACTTATCCACACTTCTCAAAGAATATAGAACAAAGGTCGTGAAGAGGCCTGCAAAGCAGTGAAAATGTGGGAACTCAAATAATGAAGAATAAAAGAAAAGTTACTGTTTCTCCAGCATAACTTTGGATTCTCTGTCCAGACACACCATAAGACCCCCCCCCCCCCCCCCCCCAAAAAAAAAAATCCAAACTTTGTATTTAAATATATGCTAGCTTGTGTTGTGGGTCAATTACTGAAGCTGCAAAACAAGAGTCCTGAATCAGAGAGTAGCGTCCCATACTTATGAGGTGCTAGTACAGAAAGTCTGCATGGTTCCTGGTTGATGATTTGCTTAATATGTAGAAATAACATTTTTTCCTTGTGTTGTTAGTTCTGTGTGTTCCCTAATTCAGGGCTTTTTCATACATTTCCATCTATGCTGTCTTACATTAGAGTTGACATCTGCAGGATCATTGTCATCTGTTAGTGCTGCTGCTGTCAAAATAATGTAATATAGGAGTTTGGGATTGTGAATACTACTGTTGGTAACTCTGCTTCTGTCACGAGAGCCGAAAAGCCAAACAGGTAGGATAAGTCCACTGGAGGTTATTAGGAAGTTACAAGACTTCTGTTTTCAGCCATGTTGTGTTTGCAGTTCTTTCTTTTGCACCCTTTCATTTACTCTCTGTATTTTTGAAATGTGCAACTTCGAGTCTAATGAGGGTTGTTACCACCTCGTGATGACTTCTATTATTAGAAATATGCTTTACTTTCACAGTCCTCAGTGTTTTACAGGATGGAGTTCATGTAACGATTGTTATTATCTAATTTTAACTCTGGAGTACTCAATGTCTGTTTTTGTCCTTATCTTTTAGAGTGAAGACTGGAACGGCTAGAAGGAGGTGCGTAGCTGCAGGTATGAACCAACTACAGTTTGTATTCCCTCAGTTGCATATTGGAGCTTCCTTTCAATGGTTTAGAGAGAAGTTGTTTTTATTTTCAATTATGAAGGCGGTCATTTTCCACTGCAGTGAGCAGTGTTCCCTGAACCTTAAACTCTTTGCAGTTTCCTGCCTTTGTACTGCTAAAGGGGGTTGGGAGTGTTAACAACTTAGGACTGCAAGTACCAAGTCAATAGGCTTCTTTACCTCCATCTGTAATTTAGTAATTTTAGAAACATAACTAACTACAAAGTAGAAATGCATATCTTCATAGTAATTTCTTGACCAGAACAAATCTCAAGTATTCTCTGTAGTACATGAAACCCTGAAGGTGAGTATTAGTGGAACAACTCCCTATGGGCTGAGACAAATTTGATTATGTGCAGCAGAATAGGAATATAGTCCAGTGTGAAAATGCTTGGAGCCAAATGCGAGGATCTTCTGGTGCAATTTTCTTAATGCCTGAAGTCCAGTAAGGGTGTAGTTTCATAAGACAGCTGAGACAATTCCCCCTTCCTCTCCTATTCAGTTTCCAGCTGAGTAGTCCTGTGTCCTTTGGTTATGCTTGTTTCTTGTGATAGTTTGACTGCGTGGTAGACAAAAGTCAGCTTGACAACCCAGAAAAAAGCTCTTTTATGATCAAGTTGTTATTTCTCTGGTTTAGCAAGTTGGCATAATTTACTGTGTGGTCAGAGGAGTACCAAAGGAATAGATCAGACTGTAACTGTGCACCTTAAGAGTTTCAGTTGACTTCTGAGGACAGATGACCTGTAACTGCTGTGTTAGGTAACACTATCACGCTCAAAACCTGGTGATTGTTGCTCTTCTGATGAATCACCTCTGCTATGGCAGAAATATTTAAGGTGCGCTTTAGTTTATAGACAACCAGGGAGAACTGAGTTTTGATATTGTCTTGAGGAAGCACTTGTTTTTTACAATGGTCAGACATTTGCTACAGTTTTCATAAATACATTGGAAAGGATTTAGTCATGTCTATATCAGAAAGAAAATCAAATTTGCCTAAAGTTCAGGATATGCTGTCTCTCCATATGTTACTCATCAGGGTAGAAAGAGCTAAAGCTGGATTAAGAACCACCTTCATTTTCAAGTGATTTTTCAGAGAATTGGTGATTGACCTCTGTGTTTGGAAGTATCAGTTTGAGGGCATTGGTCTCCAGGCATTGTGGGTGTTGCAAAACACTCAACTTCTTTCCTAAATGAGTGGTGCTCTGTACTTTGCCCTTCCTGCTTCTTTGCTGCTCCCTTAGGACCATAGAAGATAGGAAAGAGAGAATACTGGTCATTATCTTTGTGTTTTTGTCTGAAGAGTTTGTATCTTTTGCGACAGACTAATCTGTGATTGGACCTAGTTTTTCAAACTCAGGGGGTTCTGCCAATTACAAAACGCAGGTCCAGAATCAATAGATTTGGATTACTTAAATAACAAAATAATCAGATTATTTAAGTAGTGAAATTATCAACTTTATGGTTGCTGCAAATGAGTCACAAAATGGAACACTTCCATTTATTGGAAGAGTTTCTCATCTTAAGAACATAAAGTTGAATTCATCTGCCTTAATGTGAATGTAGAAAGGTGTCCAAATGAAAGAGAATTGAGACTTTTCTTGAACATCTGACAATGGTATATGAAATTGCTTGTATGCATCCCAGTATGAAATGCCTCTTATGATGATTGACTCCATAAATTAACTCCACAGAGATATATCAAAATAAAACTGATGGCATTCCGCTTCTGGTCTGGTACAGAGAATATAACTGAGGAGGAGTCAGCTTTGCTTTGAGATAAGGAATCACTTGGCCTTTGAAATAGCACTTGGTTTTGTTCCCCACTTTTCTGGTAGCTGCTCTCTTTAACCAGACAAGTTTTTGAATAGAGAGTTTACTCTGACACTCAAGATTGCTTCTTGTATTCGGAAATTTATATGCCGCACTCTGCCACAGGAGATTAAATACTTATTCTGTCAAATCATATTGTTGTAAAAGTGAGCATTGGCAGTTTCAAGACCGAGGAACTCCTATCTCTGTATTGACTCTTGTCATATCCACATTCACCATGCTGATATTCCACTGGAGGACAAAAATGCCTTTATATTGTTTAAATGCCCTGTGGTTAGAGAGCACTGTAGTGTTCGTATTGTTCTTACTGCCCTGCCCCTCCCTTAGGGTGATCCTGTTGTTTTCCTGAAGGTAAGCTCTAATGAAAACTCCATTGGGACAGATTTGTAGGCATGTTGTAAGTTGCTATTCTTCATCACACCTGTTTTTACCTGAAACATGTCTGTGTTCAAATAAAATTTCTGCAGATCTGAGCCCCTTCCAAAATGGAAGTCTTTGGCATGGAGATGAAAATGGGCATTAAAAGACTGTAGATTTGTCTACTTAGAAGGAACTTCAGCTCTTCTGCCATAAGAGAAATTAATTCTTCCTCAATACTTCTAAAGCCATTTAGAGTTCAGGAAAGTAGAAGTAAATTTGTTTGCTTATAGATTTATTTGTTTGTTTGGAGAGACTGTTCTGGATTAGAGTCCTCATCTTCATTCTTTCCGGGCTTAGCTCTTCCTGAAGTTGAAACCTACTACAGTATCTAATCTAATGCTTATTTAGACCTTATTAAAGAGGAAATTTTTAGATAGGCATGGCTGTATTTTCTTAGCTGATTAGGAAAACTGAGGCACATACACCATACTGCTTCTCTTTTAACTCTGGAGGCTTGGAAAGTTTAGATATTTTTCAGAAACACACTCTCTAACATTTTGATTATGGTCCTGCATGTGTAGCTTAAAAGCTAGTGATTTTGGTTAGGAGGCAAGATAACAAAATAACAACTTCCTAAATCGATCACATTCCTTCTGTGCCAGGAGTGATGCTGGAGCTTCCCTTGTTGCATCTGCTAGTCTTTCCTACCCCACAACGTATGTGGTAGCTTGAATTGTTTGCCTTTCCAGGGATACCACATCCCATTCTGATCTCCACTCTACTCACGGACAGTGCTGGAGCTATACCGCTGCCTTTGCTGCCTTGTGCCAAGAGCCAGGGGAGATCATGCTTTATAATGTTCTAAGTTGATGCACTATGCAGAAATTATTATTGCAGTGATTACTATTTTAACTGCATAATGTACTCTCCTGGAGCTGTCTGGGCTGCATTTGAACTCTCTTCAGGTAACATGCAACAAAAAACTTCCATTTGGATAAAATGAAATGAGAGAGAAAAAGTGAGTGAATTTTTACTGGAGTATAATATTAACTGGTTCACTTTTGTATCTGGTACTATTAGTAGAAACAATTTGAGATTAAAGGACTCCTCAAAATGGCTTGCATGGCTGTTCTGATGGCTGCAAAGGACAATGAAACTTGAGACTTGTTGCTTTGTTTAGTCTAAATGGTCTCTTGAAACTTAATGAGAAGAAAAAACAGCCTCTATCATACTTCAGAAAGATTTTCTAAACAGGTCTTACAGCTATTCTAAGAGAGTTCAGAAAGGAGAGGTTGTAAAATCATTTAATAATATGAAGTTTGTTCTTCTGAGCTAAGATTACACGTTACATTTCTTAAGTAAAAAAAGTAACTCTGACCAGTTCTTACTTTAAGGTTTTACCTCACACATGCACGAGGTATGTTGCTTGCAATAAACCTTAGTTGAAGGCATTTTTGATTCATTGTAGTTCTCATGTAGGGTAATACAACAATCTTCATATGTGGTATTGTCCTGGAATTGTATAACAGGTTCTGTAGTCTCCCCTGGGTCCAATATGCAACCACACAGCAATTCTCTGTGTAAATGTAGTTACTTTGCCCATTGTAGTGCTTTGTGGCATGTTTGGCTTGAAGACAAGCAGACTGTTCAGAGCTTTCCAGGACCCAGTGGATTTCCAGCTTCTTAGCAGAAGAACAACTTCTGGCTCTGTTTTAGTGGCAGAAAACTAACCTTAAATGTATAGTTGATTCTTTAAAAATATCTCTAGCAAATACTGCAGAGATGACAAAATGTTTGTTTCCAGTGCATCTTTTTGACTAAAGTACAGAGCTGCAGGTTCCTATAATATAGGAAAAGACAGCAAAATACAGGTGTATTTGAAATCAGATTTCTAGGTCTTGTGTACAAAGTAAAAAAGTTGAAGGAGATCTAAAGTATTCTGTTCCATAGAATTGCTTGCAGCGTTGTTTCTTACACAAAAAGCTCAAATACCTGAAGGTAAACTTCTGGCCAATCTTAAAAAAAAAAAAAAAAAAAAAAAAAGGATCATTTTTATAAGCTCAGAGACAACATTTGGGGAGACAAGAGGGGAAAGGCGGTGTAAATGGATCTGTACCTCTGCTTTCAGGGCATGATAGCTTGCAAGCATTAGTATTTTTACCCTCTTCAACTGAAGACTTCAGCGTTGAAGTGCAAGTGTGATTTATCATCCATTACTTTGTGTGTCTCTCATGGTCTGAATTCAGTCAATAAATAAAAAGAAAGGGGGGAGGGAACCCCTCAAACCTTGCTGCTGCCTTAGATGTTCCATCCTGTCTCCTTTTAGTAGTTCTCTGTCCTTTCACAGGGTAGAAATGCATATCCTCACTTCTTATGCTCTCATTTCCTGCCTTGTCTCCTGTTCTGTCTCCTACTGTTGCATTTATTTCCTCTTACCATTGTTGTGGCCAAGCCACTTTTCCTACTTTCTCAAGAATTTTTTTTCTATCTACAGTGCCAAAGTGTCTACAGGTCTTTCAGATCTCTCTTAGGTACTCAAGATTTCCACAGTTTGTCTCTGGCAAAATGTAAGCATTGTTCTGTTCTAACACTGTAATGATAAAAACTCAAAATGCTTCCCCAACTATGTCTGCTGGAATTTTGGCAGATGTTTAAAAAAATAATAATTTTTAACTGAAATTTTCTTTTGCATACCTTCCTGTAGAGCTTAAGGAGTAGAAATACACACTTTACATCTATTCACAAAAAAAACCCCACA